ATGCTATAATTAGTGAACATGTTAACAGTTTTCAAAAAGAAATGAATGAACTGTATGAACTATTGTATCATTGTTACAGTATACTCTGATCATAATCTTGAATCCACCGATAGAATGTGATAGAGCAGAAAAATGACTGGATGGGACTGAACGAGGATACTTGGGTCTCATACCAGATCTTGCTGCTGTGTAGTTTTGTTTTCATGTAAAACAGTGGAGTCAGCTAACGTACCTGTATCTTACTTTCCATGTTTGTTTAGAAGAAGTAGGACTAGACTATCTAAGCATCTTTCTAGACATAAAATTTGATGATTATAAAAACGCAAAGTCTGTAAATTTCCTAGTCCAGTTGGATTATCTATATTGTTGTATGCCATCGAGTTGGTTCTGACTCATAGTGTCCCAGTATAGCGTTTCCCAGGCTGCAAATCCTTACAGGAGCAAAAAACCCTCATCTTTCTCTTCCAGAGCAACTGGGGGACTTGAACCACTGACCTTGCAGTTAGCAGTCCAACATATAACCAATTATGCCACCAGGGCTCCTGATTATTTACACTGTTTTATGCTTTTACTTGTGGTCTTGTTTAGTATTCAGAAGCCTAATTATTACTTAAAACTCTCTGAATTTTATGTGCTTTTTTCCCCTAGTAATATCAGTCCTGAAAACCTTCTCCCTACACTACCACTGCCCTCCGTGAGGCAGTGATACACCTTCTAAAAGCAGGTGACAGATTGAATCACCAGGAGCTGATGTACAGGTGACGGCTGTCAGCTCAACCCTGGCCCCAGAGCATGTGGATAGAGGTTCATAAGGCACTGTCTCCACTTATGACTGAATCTCACATCTCCTAAATGCGTTACACTTCCCCTCACTGAGACAATGCAAACTTGCTCTTTTGCCTCTAGGGAAATCGTAGAGAACAGCTGAAAGCACCGACCTCTCTAGCTAGACTAAACTAGCAACATTCTGCCACTCAGATGAAGGCTTCCTCAGACTTGAGAGCAGAGATTTTAATGTAGAAAGCTTTTACGCTACAGTAGTGAAAACACAATGTCCCCTACCCACTCAAGGAGAGCTGCAAATTATCCAGTCCCAAATAGGGGCTGCCATTTCTCCCTTCTTTCTCTGCAATTGTCACAGTAAAGAATATCAACAGTAACTTTGTTAGACATTATTTTGATGGCAGAAAAGTCATGTTTGGGAAAATCTCCATTATGGAGCTGGGTTGGAAATGGTGGGAGACAATTCACTAGGTACTGCTGTATTAAGTCTTCAAAAAAGTATTAAGATAAAGATGCATTTTGAAAACAAAACAAAATCAGCTACTATGTACTGATAAAGTATTATATAAAGAATCATCAAAATAATCTATGGTGGAAATATTTCTAAATTTTAACTTTATTTTAAGTGTTATTATGTAATGGATCAGCATTTGGCAAATGTTTTCTTACAGGGTCAGAGAGTGTGTATTTTAGATTTTGTGGGCTACATGGTGTCAGGTATACTTACTCAGCTCTGCCTGCTGTCTGTCACAAGACAGACTTGTGACAATCAAAATGTTTCTAGACACTGCCAAACGTCTATAGGGGCTAAAATTGCCTTACCTTGAGAACCACTGATGTAGCTGAAGTCAACTAACCTATGCCTTCAAATGCCATCTAGAAGGTTGTTGTTGTTAAGTGCTGTCGAGTCAGTTCTGACCCATAGTGATCCTGTATAGGGTTTCCAAAGAGCAACTTGATGGTGAGTTTGAACCACTGACCTTGCAGTTCAGCACATTAGCCCGAAGCACCACACCAGGACTCCATCTACAAGGTGATGAACTCCAAATGTTTCGACCTTTCAATAAAGCTCCACACCTGTAGATCCAACTGTCTTCTTGATCTCAACTTGAAGGTAGTTTTTTCCTTTCTTCTTTCCTCACTCCTCCCTTTGTTCATTTGCCTATGTGGCACTATGTGGGATAAACACTGGACTGCTAACTTCAAGGTGGGCAATTCAAATCCACCAGCTACTTCTCGGAAACGCTATACAGAGTCACTGTGAGTCAGAATAAACTTGACAGCCCTAACAACAACAGACAACAACAGCCAGCGATCCATCAGTTGATCGATCTCTCTCTTTATCTATCTGTCTATCATACTTACCATTCATCCACCTTCCCCGTTTTTGTTGATTGCCGTCGAGTAGGTTCCAGCTTATAGCAAGCCTGTTTAGGGTTTCCGTGGAGCTGCTGGTGAGTTTGAACCACTGACACTGCTGTTGAAAGTGACCTTGAGATTGAGTGCTTATCCGATGGTACCACACCAGGATTCCACCTTACCTACTACTAGTCTGTATTTCCCATGCTGGCAGGGATCTAGCTGCACATTCACTATTTATCCCCAGGGCCTAAAATAGTGCTGAGCACATTACTGATACTCAAAATATATCCTGGTGTGGCACTGTGGGTTAATGCGTCAGACTGCAAAGCCCTTTGAACTGTAGGGTTGGTGGTTCAAGCTCACCAGCTGCTCCTCGGAAACCCTGTACAGGGTCGCTATGGGTTGGAATCGACTCGATGGTACTAACAACAACAAAGAATTAAAAACACATATTAATTAATAATACAGGGTTGCTATGAGTTGAAAGCAATTTGATAGCACTTAACATGTTAATTAACTTCATGCAGTTAATCAAGGATGAGACAATCAGGCAGATAATATCTTAAACACATTAAAGCATCTTTTAAAGACAATGTTCTTTAATTTCAAGTTAATAGAAATGCTTCATTTTAAAATAAATTTGGAAACAGTGCTAATACAAGCCATTAGATTTATTTAGCTAAGAATTTGCAAATAGTCCCAGGGTGGGGGTGGGGGTGGAAACAACTGGAGTTCTCGCTCTTTTGCTCCTTTCTTTACTTTTGCTCCACTGCTCCACATTCTTATCATGATTCACTTCAATTTGTATAAGTAAATACACACAAATGTTTCTTATTTTAAATAATTCTTTTGTCTTTGGACCATCATGATGCCAGTTAATTACCAATTCTTAAATGTAGTTGTTTTTTCAATTGTTGATCCTGTTGGTCTAATGTGGGTTATATTTGAAGTGGAGAGCGGATGGTATAATTGTCTAAGGAAGTTTGAAATCTGCTATGTTTTTGAAAAATTACCTCCTGGATGATAGTTGTATTTTTGGCTCATTTCTCTCTCTGGACAAGTGATAACCAAAGGCCCCATTTCCTTACCTTCATTTAGTTCTCATAGTTAAGTGCTGCAGTATATATGTCCAGACACACTATAATCAATTCAACTTTTAATTAAAGACCATGACTACCAGCCTTTATTTTTGTTCCAAGTCATATGCAGATATATTTATGCAGTTTATCTACCTGGGTATTTATTTACTAAGAACACCAACCTTGGACGTTTTCTTGATGCAAATGTCCTGGGATTCTTTCATTAATACTTCTTTGACTAGAACTGAGTATAACGTTTTAATGGTGATCAAGCTGGATATGTATGATGGCATCTTAAAACTTATTCAGTAATAGACTAGAGATATTAACTATTTACACATGCACAGGACAACTCAACCCAAATCCAGCAGGCTCTATGGATGCTATAAACTAATCTTTCAACATGTACTTATGCCTTTGAATATTTAAATGACGTCTCTATAACAAGCATTCTAATGAATACACTGGTCACAGATTGAATTGTGTCCCTCTGAAATATGTGCCAACTTGGTTGGGCTACGATTTGTTGGTTTGGCAGTTATGCAGTCATGTGATTTGGCAGCTCCATAGATTCCCCATGATGTGATCTGATGTGATAAATCAATCAGTTATAAGCGGATTAAGGGTAGGATAGGATGCAACACATCCCTGATTTGATATATGAATCTCGCACATCTTAATAATACAAGAGGGAAGACAATAGCATCTGTAGTTTTGAAGTGGAAGAACAAATGGCTTAGCTTGGCCAATATAATGGGCAGACCTGCTTCTCCAATCAGGAGGCTGTTTTGGCATTTCCCCCCTTTCCTGAGGGCTGGGGGTGGACTGACTGACTCATTCAGAGACACTGCTGCATTCTTGGGCTAAGATCCCATGCAGCCTGTTTTTCACATAATGTGGAGTTCTAAAAAACAGGAAACTTGCTTCCTAAATTAAACCTTGATTTCTGGAAATTTTCAGAAAGTATAACTTAGCTGGACTTCCTGCTACAATGAGGTTAAACAGAAAATCCATGCAATGTGAACACTTTTAAAGCATTCAGTGTAATTTGGGTGATGCTAATGATAACACCATAGATCTGCAGACTGAGGCTAGAACTCGCTGGTGACATGGCTTCTCTGATTAGTCCCTGTTGAACAGCAAGGCTAGTCAAAAGAGTTTACTCAACATGTAGCAGAGGAGGGTATGGTACCTCTAAGAACGTACAACAAAAACAGCATAAAACACTAACTTACTTGATGAACACGAGATCGAAAAATACCTACTGGGCAACATTTACCCATGTATACTGATAAAATCACAGAGACTACCTATATGAGATGGATAGGTGCTGAGCTCCAGGCACGTTCTGGAAGTCTATTTCTTGTAAAATAAGTATTTGATACTAGTTTTATCATATGAATTTTGCTCTCAAAAGTGGAAGCTTCAGAGTCACAGAAGATCTAGCTAAACATAGTAAAAAAGAATAAAGTAAACAAACAAAAGATCTGCCTTTACTATTTTTAAACTCAGATATCAATTGTAAATCCTAGCAAATGTTGTTTAAAGAAAAAGAAAAAGCACAACAAAAGCAGGAAAAACTAATGAAAAATAGTTAAGTTTTCAGGGAGTCCAGTTAGCCATAGTGTCATGCAGTTTTTAAAAAGATCAGTTTTGGCCACTGACGCTCGTCTGATTGAGAAGACGAAGTTCTCCTCTGAGGAACAGATGTGCATTTACTGACTTGAAAGTCAAATTATTTTAGTGAGGATAAATATTTGGTTCTTCAATAGGTACCTTCACGTTGAATGTTATTTCTTCCATGACGTACACGCGTTCAGGAAATGCTTTAGCTACCTCCTCCACACTGTTAAAATATTGCACTGGTTCCTTTATATCTCGATCTTGTTCCAGCAGCTTGAATTGCCCTAGAACACATGATAAACAGAAGAGAGGTGAGCTGTTTACGCTGGACAGCTGTCCCATGGCTACAGCAATTCGCTTTCCTTATTCCCACCGCTGCTTGTCATCAAAGTCATCATTTAAAAGAAAGTTTGACCATGCGAGAAGGTTTTCACAGAACAGAACAGATATTTAGAAATCAGCTTAAAATAAAAACAAATGTGTTTTTACTTTGCATTGAGTTTACTCCCAGAGATCCAAAATGAAACTGAAGGGAGGCTTATTTGTAATCTGATCTCCAGGTAAAAACCACTGAATTAAGTTACTCTAACAAAAAATGGTTTCTCAAGACACAGGTCTTCATCATAGCAATCTTCACAGTAGCCAAAATGTATAAACAGTCTAAATATATATTGAGATGAATGGATGCTCATTGTATGGTATACCCATACAATGGAATATTACTCAGCAATACAGAAAAAAATGAAGCTCTGATACATGTTGTAATATAAATGAACCTTGGAAGCATTATGCTAGATAAAGTCAGTCAGTCATAAAAGAACAAATACTGCATCACCCCACTTACATGATATATGTTTTGTGGTTGTTAAGTACTGTTGAGTAAATTCCAACTCATAGTGACCCTGTACAACATTTCTGAGGAGCAGCTGGTGGGTCTGAACCACTGGCCTTGTGGTTTGCAGTCCAGTGCTGATCCTGCAGTGCCACAAGTGTATAGAATTTATGTGTGGTACAGGTAAAGAAGGAGTTATTACTTGGAGGACACTGAGTTTCTGTTAAGGTAATGAAAATATCTGGAGGCAGCTACTGATGATGGTTATACAATATGAGGAATGTAAACAATGCCGCCGATTTGTACTGAAATGTAAAAATTGCTGAATTGTCAAATGTATTTTTATAAGTACTTTATTACAAGAAAGAGAAAAAAAAGGTCCTTTTTTTTTTAAAGTCACCTTGTTATTTAGTTATAATACCCATATATACAAAGAGGCTTCAGAAAGTTCATGGAAAAATTCCTTTATCTTTCCATTCTACTTCAACAAACTTTTTGAAGTCTCTTTATACTGACATTCTAGAACTAAGCCCTAGTGGTCTGGGTAACTGATGATTTAAAAAAAAACTATTATTAATTTTTATTTTTGACAAACAGAATATAATGAGTAGAGTCGACCTGGTAGTCCTGTTGAAGCACTGGACTGCTAATCACAAGTCCATGGTTGAAATCCACCAGCCACTCCTCAGAAACACTATACAGGGTCGCGATGAGTCAGAACAGACTCTATGGCACTAACAACAACAGTGATTCAGTGACTTTCACAGAATTGCCCTTCTTGGATTCACTATGAGCTGCTCTAATGTGACACTGATGATGAGCATGGTGAGACTGGACTATGAATGGGCATCTCCTGACAACTGGGGCCCAGGAGCCACTCAGAACCAAATATTAGGGAACCAATTATGTTGTTTATACATTTTCAAAATTTATGCTATAGCACTACATTTGAGAGAATTGTTTGCGACTCAGAAAAAAAGGCCATATGCAATCCAGTCAAGGACTTTACTGTTTCTTACTAGTGATTTTCTGAAACCTGTTCACAATCTAACACTTAAGGAACTTAAAAAGGAATTCAAAGTTTTTATGAAACAGGCAGACTGCTCAGCATGTGTCTAGAGAGCATCAAGCAAACACAGGGAAGCTTCATTCAGACTCTCAACAGTTTTTAGTTATTTGCTAGGTAGCAAAAGCAATGTTTTAAATGCTGGAGGTAACTCAACGAACAGAACAAGGAAGCCTTTTAAAGCTTAATTCTAACAGTAAGAGAGTATATGTACAACAAGTGTACACACTTGCAGGGAAGTCAAAAGTATTGCTACAAAATAACAGAACCCTTTAATAAACAAATCATCAAAATGTGAAGCTATTTATTGTTTGATAATGCCTTCCCATCTGGATCTATACTTTTAAAAGCGGTGTTTCCATCTCTCAAACGTTTGATTTACACCACGTCAAAATGGCAGCTTTGGCATTCTCAAGGGACTCAAATCATGTTCCTTTGAAATGTTCTTCGAGTTTGGAAAGAAAACGAAATCTGAAGGGGAAAGATCAGGGCTGTAGGATGGATAGGGTAAGGTTTTCCAAAAAATTGTTAGAGAACAGCCCATGGCTACACTCAAAGAATGAGATGGTGCACTGTCGTGACGTAAAACAATTCCTCAGCAAGACTTTCCAGACCTTTCTCTCACCAATTCAATTTACCACTGCCTTTAAAAAGTCTCCTCAGTAAGCCCCTTTGATCATCTTTACACCTTGGGAATCCCAAAAATCCACTGCCATAATCTTCTAAGCTGACCTTTCGGTCTTGAATTTAACCAGCCCAGTAGATCCCCTCAGAAGCCACTGTTGTGACTGGATCTATTTTGAAGACACCCTAACATATGTTTACTGAGGTAATTTGTCTGCAGCCATCCACTGATTGCAGAGACATATTTAAGCATGTTTTCTTTGGAATAAACTCTTTCATGTATGAACTGGAACCCTAGTAGCAATACTTTTTAACTAACCCTCATATGATAGTTTTTTCTGACTCATAGAGACCCTGCATAGGGTTTCTGAGGAGTGGCTGGTGAGTTTGAACTGCCGACCCTTTGGTTCAAACCATCCTTGAGGTCAAGTGCTATCCTCCAGCTCCACACCAGGGCCCCAGAGCACATATGTGACCTCTTATTACAAGGACTAACAAACTTGCACTATAAAATTTTTAGTTTTTGTGAGCGATACAATCTTTATCATGACCACTCAATTCTGGTGCAACTAGTGTTAATGCACACAATAAGAAAACAAGTGAGGATAGCTGTGTGACAATCCAATTTTATTTATAAACAAGCAGCATGTTAGGTTTGGTCGGTCATCAGGCAGTAGTTTGCTGAGCCCTTATCCTATTCAAGGGAGTGTGGAGTACAGATCAGGGTCATGGCAAGATCACAAGACATTCAAAGTGAAAATGGTGTATTCCTTTTATTCCATACCACTAACCAGGTATGTGAAGTCCTGGTGTGGCGCTGTGGGTTAATGCGTCAGACTGCAAAGCCGTTTGAACTGCAAGGTCGGCAACTCAAGCTCACCAGCTACTCCTCAGAAACCCTATACAGGGTCACTATGGGTCGGAACTGTAATAATAACAACAACAAATAGATATATCAGATAATCATACAGTTTAATATGTCAGGAACAACAAATTGAAGAGGAATGAGGAATGACGACGCACTCATCATCAAAAAAAGCATTTCAAGATCTATCCTGAAGTATAGTGCTGTCTGTGATAGGATCATACTCATAGGCCTTTAAGAAAGAACACTGGACATCACTATTATTCTAATTTACGCACCAACCACTAAAGCCAGTTATGATGAAATTGAAGAATTCTAAAAACTTCTTCAATGTAAAATTGGTTAAGCGTGCAAACAAGATGCATGGACAATTACTGGTGATTACAATGTGAAAGTGGGAAACAAAAAGGAAGGATCAGTAGTTGGAAAATATGACTTTGGTGATAGAAATGATGCTGGAGATTGCATGATAGAATTTTGTAAGACCAATGACTTATTCATTACAAATACTTTTTTCAACAACATAAACAGTGATTATACACACAGACCTCACCAGATAGAATACACAGGAATCAAATTAACTACATCTGTGGGAAGAAATGATGGAGAAGCATAATATTATCAGTCCAAACAAGGCCAGGGGCAGACTGTGGCTCAGACCTCAGTTGCTCATAAGCAAGTTCAGGATGAAGCTTAAGAAAATTAAAACAACTCCATGAGAGCCAAAATATGACCTTGAATATATATAACCTGAGTTTAGAGACCCATCTCTAGAAGAGATCTGATGCTTTAGACACTAATGACAAAAGATCAGAAGTGTTGTGGATTGACATCAAGAACATAATGCAGGAAGAAAGCAAAAGGTCATTAAAAAGACAGAAAAGAAAAGCAAAGTAGATGTCAGAAGAAACTCTGAAACTTGCTCTTGAGCATGTTGTTGTTTAGTGCTGTCAAGTCAGTTCTGACTCACCGTGATCCTGTACAGGGTTCCCAAGGAGCAGCTGATGGGTTTGAACCATCAACCTTGTGGCTTGCAGTCCAGTGCTGATTCTTCATTGTTACACCAAGAGCATAAAGATGCTAGAGCGACTGGAAGTAATGATAAAGTAAAAGAACTGAACAGAAAATTATAATGAAATGTCCAAACACCTGGAGTTAGAAAACCAAAAGGAAAATAAATACATGCGTAACATTTCTAAAACTGAAAGAATTCAAGAAAAAACTCAAGTCTCATGTTTCAATATTGAAGGATTTTATGGGCAAAAATTGAATGATGTAGAAGCATGAAAAGATGGAAGGAATACACAGAGTCACCGCACCAAAAAGAAATGGTTGATGCTTAACCATTTCAAGAGATTGCATAAGATCAAGAACTGATGGTACTGAAGAAAAAAGAACAAGCTGCACTTTAGGCATTGTGAAAAACAAGGATCCAAGAATTGATGGAATACAAACAAATATTTTAACACATTGATGCAGTGCTGGAGACACTAAATTGTCTATGCCAAGAAATTTGGAAGATGGATATCTTGCCACCCATTGAAAGAGATCCCTATTTGTTGCCTATTCCAAAGTAAGGTGGAAATCATCAAATTATATCATTAATATCACAGAATCAAATTTTACTGAAGACAATTGCAAAATGGTGGATCAACAAGAAGCTGCCAAAAATTCAAGCTGGACTCAGAGATGTTGTTGAAGGGAAGTGTGGATATCATTTATGACATCAGATGAGTCTTGGCTATAGAGAATAGCAGAAGGATGCTTACTTGTGCTTTATTGACTATGCCAAGCCATTCAACTGTGTGGATCATAACAAATTATGGATAACATTGTGAAGAATTGGTATTCCAGTATACTAAATTGTGCTCGTGAGGAGCCTGTATACATAGACGAA